TAATTCGTTTATTTCTATTAAAAATAAAAAAAACTGTTTAAATATTTGTTAAAGAGGATCAATTAATATGAATCCAGTATTCAAACTACAATTAACTGACTGTTTATGTTGGATTAATAATAATTACTCCAAATACTAAAACTGAATTTTGTATGGGCATTAGACAGTGTGATAAAAAGTAACACCTTAAAAATGATATCATTTTAATAAATGCTTATTTATAACAACAGAGACTTTAACTTGATAACTTATTATTATATTGATTTCGACTCAAATCAACATTTATTTATAATACCTATTAACGAACACAATTATATATGTAATTAATTAGTATATGGGCGGAAATAATGGTGTTATATTTAATTAACGCTATTCTCTTTATAAAGATTTAAATAGTTTTCTTTTTTGCATACAAATGGACTAGTCTGTACATTTTGTACATTTGTTGCTTTAAAAACAATCTAAAATGTCAATATTCCATGGATATATTGATAAACAGGTTCAAATTATAAGAAATGCATTTTCACGAAAACTTGAAGGGATAGGTAAAAATGGTATAATACAATTTGATAGACAATTTAATTGAGCATCTGATTCTCATAAAACATACAGGGCATTCCATTAAATTAGCAGTTATTGCTGTTTATAGCTAATAATTATTTAAAATAAATTTTAGACACTTGTATAAGGTAGTAGTATTATTTTTTCATTATTGCAACACAATAACTGATCAATCAATAAACTTCATTAAATATTTAGTATTAAAAACATTGATACCCTTGGAGAAATGAAGCTTAAAATTTTTACTGCAATTTCACAAAATTGAAAATATTTTTAAAAACGGTAAGGTTTTAAGTATAATAAACCTTAATCAAATTTACCTTTAATGAATAGAAACTAAATGTAATAATATACAGGGTGTTCCATTTAAAAATACAACTTTGATATTTTTATTATTTAATAATTTTATCTTGTGGAATATTTTTAAATTGTAGCTCTAATAGTCCTCTGTAACCCTAAACTTACAATTTGTAAAACTAACGTTTAGCTACAATATTCGTGTCGTATGTAGAACAACCCTGTATATTTTGTCTTGACTTTATATATTATTCTACTGTTTAAATTTAAAATGTTCATCTTCGTCAGATGATCACATTCCCATTCTCATTTTGTTAAAGTAGTATTTGGCAAACCTTCAACTTATTACGAGATTTTCATTTCATTAAACATAATTTACCTGCTCTATTCCCTGCCGATATTTACCTTACGTTTTTTGTCCTTTTTCCACAATACAGGGGCCGATACTCGAACTTTAGCGAAGAAGGAATTGTCATTAACACCATCGGCATCAGTCTCATAGCATTAGCCATTGTGGTGGGCTACATTTTGCAGAGGGATGATTTTAGATATAGGGCGCATATTCTCATCAGGACTGGAGATCTCTAAGCTACTATTTAGTAAAAAATGTGTTCTAAAATTTCACTGAGTTTCTTTCTTCGACGTTTGAACAGAGAGAAACAATCACACAACGAATACAAACAGTTAATTGTACAGAGTGGCCCACTTTTGTAATATAATTTTAGCAGCCCACGGAAAAATATACAAAAATAGATTTTTAAACGTGTAAAAAATATATATTTTAAAATTTTAAAACTCATTGAAAGGTCTATGCATGACTGTTCTAATCCTACAAAAATGGATCACTCTGTATGAGGTGACTAATGTTTGTTCAAAATTCTACTTATATTTTATGGATTCAAGATCACACACCCTACTGAATACTCGACATTAAAAAATAATTAAAAAAATATTATAATAATGACTCCTATTTTTCGTTCTCGAATAAAAAAAACAAAATTAGACTATAATTTATTCCAAATAAATAAAACATCAGACAATGTCAAATTGAAGTCTATTAATACATTCTGGTTTAAATTTAACAATATAATATGTAAGAATTTTGCACAAATGTTTTAGGCGCACCCTGTAATATAAGGGACCAGTAAGAATATTTGTAGTTTTAATTTGCTTCATGTAATATAATTATATAACTATTAATACGAATATAATACCTCGAATGAATTTATACGTGAATTTAAGAAAGTAAATAGTTTTTGAAATTCTCACTCAATCTGCCAATAAATTAATTTATTACTTGTGTTGTATATAGTTAGGTTATATTAACTCTTGCATTTATTTACTGATATTTTCAAGATATATAATTATTTTTGTATACCTCCAGAAAATATAAAAGACTCTTAGATATTTGGTATATATTTTGCTGCCTGATTTTAATTTTGTTCAATGTATTATCGTTATATTTAGTTTTCTTTTTAAGTAACTGAATTTTTGTGGAAATGTATGAGTAATAATCTTTGATATGACCTGAAACATTTTATATGTTTTGCATAACTTGTATGCTTTTTTTTTGAATTGCTAACTGTTACAGTCGTAATTTTAAACCAAACCAAAAAAAAAAAAAAAATCCTTTTTTTCAAAAAAAAAACTAGATAGATTTATTTATTTTTAAAAACTGGTTAAACTAATATTTTATATATTAGATATGATTGATATAGTTGATATATTACATTAATAACATGTAAATTAGTCTGTGTGTAAATTTTATTTTGTTCCAATATTTTTTTTGTAAGTACAATAGTATTGGCGTATTTTCCATTGTAACAGATATTACATCCGCAAATGCTTCATATAAATAAATTCATATTTATGGTTACAAAAGATTTTTTGTTTATTTAAAAAAAAAAAAAAAATTTAAGCAATTCTTGTATTATACTGGCTTGATACGCTTTTTAGATCCTATTGTTTTACATATTAAGAGCTTTGCATTGGAAAACACGCTTCTGTATGTTTCTGTTACCTTTTGTATCAATTCAAGCATGCATCTGTCTATCTATAGTTTCTTCTTTTAGTTAATTTTGCATGTTTCTTTAGTGCTACTTAATGTTTATAATCTATCTTAGTTGAAAATACCATATGATCGAGAAAAAAAACAGCGTCAGAAATGACTGAGGAATAGCAACGATGATAATTTTGGCGCGGTTAAGCCCTAGACGTCATTTACTTGGTCCGTACTCTTTCTTTATTTTTTAATGGCGCTTGCTGCCAGTTGGCCTTAAGAAGGTTATAATTTATTTTTTGTATTGAGTAAAAATGTTTTTTAAATGCTGTATGTAATTGGTAACAAAAAATATTTTTTCTGAATGTCTGAAACGTTCCACGTCTGGAAACGTTCCATCCTTTTTAATATTCCATAATTAGTGTTAATTTTGAAAGTTTATGTCAATTTTATTAAATAGCGCCTAGAGATTGACCTCGTCAAATTATTATCACTGTCATTCCCCAGCTGTCTTTGAAAATAAAATTAATTTTCTTAAAAAGGTCCGATTAAATTAATATCTCCGAAACTAAATTTCCAAGAAAATTCGTAATATATCTAGAAATTCATTTACCCGCTAGTAGTTATAAAAAGCATTTTTGGTAAACTCTGTCTCTAATAGTTTCTGAAAATTAAATTAATTTTTAAAATGTACGATTAAATGTATATCTCCGAAACTAAAGTTGCAAAAAATTCGTAATATATCTAGAAATTCATTTACCCACTTAGTAGATATAAAAGCATTTTTAAAATTTCTGTCTCAAATAGTTTGAAAATAAAATTAATTTTCAAAAGGTCCGATTAATTAATATCTCCGAAATTAAAGATCCAGGAAAAGTCGTAATATATCTACAAATTCATTTACCCAATTAGTAGATATAAAAGCATTTTTGGTAAACTCTGTCTCAAATAGTTTCTGAAAATAAAAATTAATTTTCTTAAAAGGGTCCGATTAAATTAATATCTCCGAAACTAAAGTTCCAAGAAAAGTCTGTAATATATCTAGAATTTTTTTTTTTTTTTTTTTTTTTATTTTTGGTAAACTCTGTCTCTAATAGTTTTGAAAAATAAAATTAATTTTTTTAAAAATGCTGTTTTTTTTTCGATCATACGAAGTTAAAAATAGCATTAAATTGTGTTAACAGGTTGACAATATTCACAATAGCTACTATATACAACTTTAAATAATTCCCAGAATCTGAAATTATTAATTATTATACAAATTGATAGTAGCGTATCAATTTGATTTTAAACGCATAAAACCACCTTTGGCCAACATTTGATCATAAACAAAATTATTGCCATGTCCAATATGGTTTACATGCTACAGAATGATATTAAACAGGTTGCTTAGTTGCCTGACAATATCTTTTTTGACAACACTTCATCGAAAGTAACAAGGCAACTCTTTCGGCAGTTAGCCTAATACTTCCATAAAAATGGCAAATATAATATAAGAATTAGTTGGGGCCGTATGATCGAATAAAACGGCGTCAGCGATGACATTTCCTCATATAATTTTACATAAAATGACAGCGATCTTCATTTCATAGCCATATTTGACGCCAAGTTGTTCGATCATGCGGTATTTATATGTATGTGAATATTGTTCCTACCATAGAGTAAAAAGTAATACAGAGATGGTGTTTAAAAATATTTCAATAGCCATATTTTCCCTTGGGGCCAAATAGCTTCAATAAAAAACTACCTAGTAATGTTAAATTATTTCGTCTTTGAGTAGGTAACTTTTTATTCTATACAAAATTAAATATCAAATTATAGTCTATTCTTTATATTACTTTTTTAATTTTACGGTTCTCACTGAATGCCAATTTTTTATTGTTCTACACATCATTCTATTTGCAAACATTCAGAACGCATGAAATCTATCAAATAGTTAGCAGCATTGGTTAATCAACTCAAAACCATTTCAACGATTCGACTTCGCACCTTCAAGAACCATTTGGAGAGAGATTTCATCGAGGCATTTGGTTCTCTAAAATATCTCTTTTGACTCATTGCACGATTTCATAACACCGTAATATGTGTTTTCGTACTGTAAATAGCACCTAACCCTTGACCTCAAACTAATATCCTCTTTCAGGGACACGTACTCTCAATGGATCGAAGAAGGCATCGTTATCAACGCTTTGGGAGTCTCACTCATCGCTCTGGGCATACTGGTATCGTTCGCTGTTCGCAGTCCCACACTCAAAGCTGGCTCGAAGGTAAACAAGTCCAAAAAAGCCCACAAATTTGCTGATTCGCAATTTTATTTATATCGATAGGTAGTAGTACTAATTCCAAAATCATACAATAGCCCGTAGTACTATTCTATTGATAGGAAACAAAGAACTGCCAAATATTTTAAAAAATTATCGCTAATAAATTATTAAGCCCCTGTCGCAAACTCTGTTATCTCTAGATAAAAGTTCTAAAATAACAGATCGTTTAATACCAACCCGTCTTTAGTAATGACTTGAAACTGTCTTTTTAGTGTAGTACAATTAGTCTGATATTATTGTATCACCTAAAGTTGCAATATAAAGTGCATAGATTCCAATATAATCTATTTACGTATCAAGCAAATGTTTTCTATTAATTTGTTTATGTGCTATCAATTTTGATTGATTTATACTGTCTTCCTTAACAGAGCCTTTGTTAATTCAACGTTTATATGAAATACTTATGAAACATATACGAAATAAAAAAAAAAAAAAAACACTAGTTCACCACCACACCAAACACTTTACTTTAAAACTGACGTGCATCTCGCTAGCCTTGTTAGCATCATCCCCAAGTAGCATTTTCACGACTTGCGACCATGTTTACTAAACACAACGTTGGATTAGTTTATTAGTCACAAAAAATAGTTAGCTCCTTACCTTGGGTATAAATAAATGTAAACGTTGTTATAACGTTGTGCCGACGTTGAACTAGTACCATAACAAAGTAAAAGCTTCTACGACGTCGAATAAACGTTGTCTTGTAACCTTTTTTGCTTAAGTGATCTTTAGGTATCTGACAACGTAGTTACAGCTGGGCAATAAAGAGTTTTCCGATGTCACTTTCAGGACCTATTCCAACGTTATGCAAACGTCGTCTGTTTTACTAATTCTAACGTTGTTTAGATTTCCTTATTCTTACGTTGGTAGGACGTCGAGCCACTACCTTTTTGCAACTGTGTTGAACCATAACCTTAAATCTTAAATTTTCACTTCATTGTTCTGTTCAGCCAGACAGTTCAGTGCTGTTTTTGTTTTTATAAAAAACTTAATTAAAATGGAACATAAGAAAGGTACATAATATAAAACTAAATTTAAATTTTTTTATTTTCTTTTACAGATATTTTATCCACTCCCTCGTTTGTTTAGAATATAGAGGGCGGCACGAGCTAGACTCTAGGATGACTAAATTAGGGAATCTTGCGACTAGTATACTACCTGTTAAGGCTGAACTGCGACTTTATTAGTCCAGTATGCGACTACTGGAACTACTCCATCTTAATCTCCAAAACAACAAAAGTGAAAGCCGCCATGTTGTTGAATAAGAAAATGTTTCGTTCCTAAAATAGCAATCCTGCTTTTTGAATACATTAACTTGAAATATTTGACCCTTAACAACACGCGGAAACAATTTTTTCGACTGCGAATAAATTATTCTATTTTATTAAAAAAAATCAAGAAATTTTAAAACTTATTTAATTTTAAGGCCCATTAGTATTTCTCAAAGTAGAAACAATACATTTATCAATAAAGTTGAGTTTAACTTTTTTGCCTTGGGTAACGAGTTACAGAGTCGGTTAAAGTGTTTCAATAATTATAATCTTCAAACATCCTCCACACTTAAATATTTTGTTTTGTTTTCAATTTTTAAAAAAAAAAAAAACTTATAAAATAATAGTTATTAGCTATAATGATCCCAATTTAGATAAAACGCGACTTAGACGCCATATTCTTATAGTTTTATATTTGTGAATTAGATGCAAGTTGCAGTTTGTACTAAATTAGGCTGCTAGTCAACGTCGGTATCCAACGTCGTTTTGACCCAAAAATTATTCTCCAAAACTAGTGCAGACTAGGGTTGGTACGAGGTTGTACCGACGTTGCGCCCCGACGTTTGGTCGCGGGACACAACGTTGTCCCGATATCCAAATGCTGCTTGGGTCAGTTTAATAAGGGTTTAATCAAATGTTGACGACGCTAACGTGGTTAGCGGAACGCACGTCCAGTATTTTAATGTATTGCGGTGAATTTGTAGTTATTTGCTGTTGTAACATCAAAGACTCCAACCCCCAACTATAATTTATTGCTACTTTTAGTTTTACTGATTGATTATTTTTGATTTTTAGGTTGTTTGGATGGCCTGACCGCATATAGGAAGAAGCGCCCCCATGCGCCAAAGCCTCGGAATCAAACGCAACTGTCACCACTGTGGCGCCCAATGAGCCTGAACGTTTTTGAACCATCACGGTAGGGTCTGATTGCATCACTAAATTCTAGGTCTGCTTTTCAGTTGCATTTTATATAAAAATGAAACTCCAAACTATGTATCTGTATTTTTTCTTTACTGTGTAACTCATTATTATTGATAGTGATCTGCGTTAAGCAAAAATATCAATTTTTTCCTAGTTAAGTTTGTAGATAAGACAGCAAGATTGTAAGAAGGAAAACAATACTAAGATATAATATATAGATCTGAAATCGTTTATAAGTTTTTCAGAAATGGAATATTTTTGACTGTTTACTGTAATATTTAACTGCCAAATTTATTATAAAATTATTACTCTTTGTGATTTGTCACTCTCTGATATTAGTATGGCTTTATGATCTGTTAATGTTAGTTGTTAAGTGTTATTATCAATTAATATATTTTCTTCAGACCAGTCTAAGAAATTAGTTGTAAATTGTGTTCAGTTGCATCCTTCTGAGGTATTTCTGGTTTCTTTACATCTTTCATTTCTATGTTGTGATAATTTTGCATAGCTCTTAGAAAAGACAATTTGATGATATTCTTGAAATTAATCAAAATCAAACTGATCAAAACTAGCGATGACTTATTAAGCCAGAGCAAAAAGTAAATCAAAGAATTGCTGATATGGAAAAAGGAGGTCCTGTTAATCAAATACAGTATTAGATTTAATCTGCAACGATATACTTTCAGAATAAATTATATTAGATTTGATCCATGTAAATTACATAAAATTACGTAGTAGGTATATATGTGTAGATCATTAGAATATATAGATTTTAATGTGGAGTAAATATAAAGTAGTGTACTTAAAATTAATTCCATAATGGTATCTTCTTGATGTACAATTTGTTAGGGTAAGTCAGCGACTTCATAAAATAGAATGCTGGAGATTCTCGATAAATTGTTTAATGTTGATATGAGTGAAATAAAAATGAAGCATATTTATAAGGATTAAATGACTTATCTGTAAGGAAATTCAACCCAAATTATACGAAATCGGACACGCCCTTCTATATAACCCTGTAGGGTGTGATCTAGGAGGGCGTGTCCAATAGAAGTATAATTAAATACACAGTCGTTGATTTACCCAGTATCAGATTGTATATCAAATAGAACTTATTAATGTATCGCATTTCGGTGTCCATAGCGCATTCATGTGTATAAATCATTGAATAATTTTATAGTATTCAGATTTGTATGCCATATATATTCAAGCTCAAATAATATAGCCCAAATATTATAACGATTACTACGAACTAAATTTCCTTTATGTTCAGTGTTTTGACCGATTAGCAAGCAATGCAACTGAAATCAGTGTCAACAG